TTTCTAAATGTTACGTTGTGCAAACAACAGTTTCTTCAAAATTTGTCTTCAATAGTTCAAATACTCCTATGTGATAAGAACGAAAATGATTCATATGCAAACTAATCAATCTACGAATAAAGCATTCAGAAAATATATTATTAGATAATATCATTGCATAGTCTCCTTTCATTAGCATAAAATCGAAGTGTTTCACAAAACTCTCTAACAATATTTCACGTTCGCAACAATATTTTAAATGTATACGATTTAAGCTTGAGCCTCAATAACGTTCAGCCACTGTCACATATTTTGTGACGAATTATCGACTAACTTTTGCCAATGGATGGTGCTGAGTTTTACTATATATATATGTTTTAGAAGTGATTTTGATGATATCAGATGGTTGGAGGCAATCGACAGGAAACCTTGGACCTAGGTTTCGTGCTAGTTGGCACTCACCAGTCAGAAAAGTGTACCTCAAACCATGAAGGAAGTCACGTTCCTTCTGAGATTCGAACTCGCGTCACCTAGTGTTGCAGTTAGATACGTTACCACTGAGCTATTCGGGCTCGTGATTGACCTCATCATCAGTGTGCATCATGATGGAGAGCTACCTAGAATGATGGTCACATTGCAAAGCTGATAGATAGAATTCAGTCTGCACCAAAGATAGGACTAGACGTATCACACCAGTTACTAGCGTGCAATCAGAAATGCTTTTATATCGTATTGTTTTCCTCGATTTTGTAATCCACAATTGCTCTACAAGCTTTAGATGTATGAGCTTAAATCGTCAAACTTCTCTACTTTAGTTGCAGATGACAGAAGTTCGAACGTTAATGAGATTAGGAAAAATCATACGTTGTTTATTAGCTAGGCTTCATAGCTAATATCAGCTTTTCAGTTGTCGACTACAACATCTGGTCCCCTTTGTGTGATACTTGCCTCGCACACGAGTATCTTGTTTTGTTCACCAAATTTCATCATAATATTTTTAAACATTATATTGCTGTAGGCTACTGTTTTTGAAAATAAATGTGGGGAAATTTAAAAATAATTTCACCTTCGTATTTCTTACAAATTCCTTATTTAAATGAGTTAAGTTCACAACTGAATTGTTTAACAAGCCAAATGTTTTTCTGCGTCACATAAATATTCCACTTGACTTTTTTTCTCTCTATCTTGAATCGTTAGAAAACAGGCATCATGGACCAATGTCAGGGCGTTTTTCATAAGGAGTAATACCTGTAAAATCAACCTAGCAAAGATTAATAGGTGAGCACTACTAAACAGTCCCAAAGTAGAATGGAATAGCCACTAGCCATATCTACATTTTGTGGTGATCCGCTAGTTAATTGGCACCTTGAAAACAAATTTACTTTTCATAATTTTAGGGTTTATAAACTATGAAATTAGTCTTCCCTTGTTCCACTGGTATCATTTTTGTTAATCGGATTTACTTCCGGCATTAGTTGATACTTATTTTCCCCAGTACTTGCTAGAACGTTTCGATAATGCCTTTGTTTTTATCTGACAATTCGTCCTACCCACAGGTAAATGTTGTGTACAAATTAAATGCAATAAAAATCCGCTAAACAAACATAACCGATAGTATCACTCTTTCACTTAGCTAAATCCATTTTTGGAAGCTCACAAATTATAATGTCATTTTCATGCCAATATGCATAAATGTGTCTTCTCTTTAAATGGATTTGAATTACTAATTTCTTCGAATAAATTATTACTTGTACTAAACTTTCCGCGTCGGTGGCACACAGGTAGAATACTCGCCAACCACACAGGTAGTTCACGGTTCAATCCCTGGCCGACGCACTACTTTACCTCGCTAAGTCAGTAATAAGACTGGTGAAGAGGGAAGACTGGGCATGAGGCTAGCAGCCCCATCCAGTAAAAATGAATACCATAGCTACCGAAACTTCACGCCCCTAGCTTGAAGACCTATGTTCCACTGGGAACGCGATGGAATAAAAAAAAACAACTAAAAGTTTCGTATTTGGTAATAGCCAGTAGAAGAATGTGTTCATATCTTGGCTATAAAGCTTAAATCTATAGATATCCAATCACAGATAGGATCTTTTGGTGTCAAAATATTAAGCTCTAGTTACCAGTCATTTTGAACAGTGTTATCGTCAAGTATCTTTACGACGTGGAGAGACTTTTTGAGGAATAATGACGGCAGTTTCCAAAATTAGGCCAATATATATGTATCTAACAGTGCTATGGTAACATGAAAACGTCTACTGTTTCAGCTTAACAAAACTAATCAACTGATATTCAGTAAATTCATTAAAAACTTGAGCATAAAGAACACATACACGCAACAGGAGAAAAAGTGTAGGCTGCGAACTCAGTACATCAAGTTTAACAGTTTAATTACAATCTGATGAATAAATTCAACAGCCGGTAGTTGTTAATATGTTTTTTTTAAAAAAAACCTAAATAAAAGAAAAAGCCCATAGACTAAAACAAGATCATTTTTACTCCCACTATATAAGAAAGTTTCTATTTTTATGCCTAAATGTAACTTTTACCTTTTTACGGTTTTACTACTTAATTCGAATGAATTCAGCTTTCATAAAATTGAAACAATTTTCTGGAATTCCACTAATATGTCGAATCATTCCCCAGTCGTTCTATTTCACAATGAATAAATTGCTTCAAACTCAGCTTTATTATTATACAAATTAAAATGTTTTAAAAAATACTACTAAATTCCTTTAACCGATACTTTCGTATTTCTGACACTTTCTTGGATAGTTTGACTACTGTCAACCAAAGTCAATGGCTTACAAATCCGACTTTCAATTGAAAGGTCCTAGGTTTGAACACTTTAACATGAGGTACCGGAAAATATTAACAACCTAAGCGTATAAAGTGAGGCTCATAGAATGGTGTATACAAATCTGTAGTCGACGTTTGGATGATACACTGTTATTCAGGAGATTATCATAATTAGTAGGAGTAATATTTTGTTGAAGAAGCCATTTTACATACAGAAGCGTATTTGTTCTTCCCCTATCAATCTACGAGTTAGCCTACAGTGTACATCGTAAGACTTTTTCGAATATGAAATCAAGTTCAACACCTGATTACATACTTTTAAGAATTCATATGGTTAATTAAAGAAGGATTTTTCTTTACAAATTACTGGAAACAGTCAGAAGGTCTAACTCCCACATATCAGTAACATACATGAAATCTGATCAGGATTTGACAGAATAGTTTCACAAATATTGGGTACCAAACGAAAAAAGTAGATATACAAAAATGATGTGTGTATAAATCTCAGCTATTTATCAGTTTCTAGGTATGTGTGTTCATAAATACTTAAGAAGGACTCACTGATCTCTGCATGTAAGGGTTTCAGAGTATATACCTAAGTGGATTCAGAAGCAAAATGAATTTCCCTAGTCTATTTTAATGGTAAAAACAGACGACTATTCTCATCTGTTGCGAAACATATTATAGATATATGGCAGGGAAACAATGTTTCTACTTTTTTTAAACCTGTCTGTAAAACGCGTTGAAGATAAATCGCAAAATTCGTGGATGCTCTAGCGATGAAAAAGTCTAAACCGCCTTTATGTATTCAGAAAATAAAATTTGTCATCACACGAAACCCTTTTTTCATAAATTTGGTTTTGATAACACGATAAAAATGTACTATTATCTCCATTCTCTGGTTTATTGATCTCCGTTGTTATTTCGACCTTCAATAAATTCTCTTAACTTGACCTATGTCTATTCTCTCACCCCTTAATGCCTTATTATTCTTCATATAAATTCCTATGACAAACAAGCTAGTGTTTTTGCCAAATCTAAGTAAAGCATTACGGAAACAAATATTGCGAGGTGATATGATTTCCTAGTTTCTTTATGATCCTTTCACATATATCATAGATCACAATAATAAAATAAAATGACTCCATTGAATCAAACTGGTGGAAATATTTTACGCAAAGAGCTTACACTGCCCGGATAAGCTACACATTATTGTATTATTGCCTTTCAGAAAAAGAAGTAAACTGCTTCAAAATATTATTACTATTTTTTCAAGTTTGACCATGGATTGATATCAGTTAGAGAACCATTGAAAACCAGCACTGCAGTACTGAAGAGATGTCTCATCAGTCTAGTCGGGATTCATCGACAGTACAAACCCACTGCCTTGGCTCGAACCCAAGACCTGTCGGCTACAAGACAAGCTCGCATACCATTCACCAACTGGGACCCCAATCAATGACCAGTCCACGAATTCTAACTTCTACCAGAACGGGGTTTCCTAGAGTTCTAGTGAGAAGTCATGACCACTGAGGTCCATCCAGTTGGGAATGGAGATGGATTTCACACCGACAACATTGGTTGGTGCAAGTCACGCAAATCACGAATTGGTAGGAGTTGGAATTCATGAACTGATCACTGAATCGGGATCCAGTTGCTGAATGGCATACGAGCCCGCCTTGTAAGCGGAAGGTATTGGGTTTGAACCTAGGCAACAAGTGCGTACTTCCGACGGTTCCCAAACTAGGATGAAACACCTGTTTAGTACTTCCTTGTTTTCAACGGTTTCCCAGCTGATATCTGTCCGTGGTCAAACTCGAAAAAAAATCCAACCTTTAGAAGTCAGCTCTTGAAAATATTATTCCTATTACTCTTAATAATATGCCGATACTGAATTGGCTTCTCAGAACCTTTTTAGCAGAAAGCTGAACTACAGATCTAAAAAATTTTCCAACTTAAAAGAGACAGTGTAAACCACAATTTAAGCATCACAAAACTGATGAGCCTGATTTTCTAACTACGGGGTATACTGAAATGTTAACCTATTGTTGTTTAGTTCCCACAAGTGAATATCAGCTCTAGGAAACTGTATTTTCAAAAGAAAAATTATATAAGTAAACAATAAATTCAGTTTTCATTACCTGATATTAGCCTATTTTATCATTACTGAGTGGAAGCAATACTTATATCGTCCATCTATGTTGTCTCTTTTGTAGGTTGAGAAGACATGATAAACCAGAATTGGAAAATGAACAACACAGAGATGTTTCTCTTCGGATTTCAATACAGGAAGTTAAAAATTTGTCTGCCAAAGGACGGTATGTTTTTTACTCAGACATTTTTAAATATTTGTTACAATGATACATTGTTCACTACTATAGCACAACCATGTTACATGTAAAAATTACAGGAGAATATTCTGATACAGTATTGCGTAAAACTAGGATAAATGATGTCGTAAAATGATTCCAGTCTTTATCCAGAGACATATTTGTTAACAATTTAAAATAAATATAATCCTACACCCACAATGAACAATAGAATAAAGGTAAAACGGTAAGAAAAAAAAGCAGATGTTATACTGTTATTGATTGCGACTTAAGAAATGCTACCTTTCATATTGTTTCACTGGACTAATAGTCAGGATAGTTTCACTTTGTAAAAAGCCATGGAGATAGAAGCAGAACAGGATGGTAACCATTTTAAGACAAAATGGAGTTTCATAAAAGATAATTAATTATACTTTTGAAGAATTAGTTTGTAGGGAATGTATTTGTTTGAGGCTAGACGATGGATTGATATCAGTTAGAGAAGCAGTGAAAACCAGCAATCCAGGAATGGACAGCTGTCTCGTCAGTCTAGTTTGGGAATCATCTACAGTACGCACCCATTGCCTAGGTTCAAACCCAATACCTTCCGCTTACAAGGCTAACTCATCGACCATTCAGCCATCGGAACCTGATTCAATGACCACTCCATGAATTCATACTTCTACCAATTCGTGATTTTAGTGCAGCTGGCACCAACCAATGTTGTCGGTGTGAAATCCATCTTCGCTCCTAACTGGATGGACCTCACTGGTCACGACTTCTCACTAGAACTCCAGGAAACTCGGTCCTGGTAAAATTTAAGATTCATGGGCTGGCCATTGAGTGGGGTTCCAGTTGGTAAATGGGATACAAGCTTGCCTTGTAACCGAGGTCCTGGGCTCGAACCCAGACAGTGGGTGCGTACTGTGGATGATTCCCAAACTATACTGATGAGACAGCTGTGCAGTATTGCAGTGCTGGTTTTCAATAGTTCTCTAACTGATATCAATCCGTCGTCTAACCTGAAACAACTTGATTAAACCTTAACAGTTTTATGCGTAGGGTTGCACATATTATTTCCAATTTAATAAATATACCACCTATCTACTTTAAGGTATACCAAGTTATTCGCTACTAAAAATGTAGTTATAAAAGGTTGTAATAACTAAAGAAAGATGGTATCGGTGAATTCCTGTACATGTCTTAAACCCATAACTTACGAAATAAGTGATTCCTTTTCCCCTAGTAGCTAACGAAGTAGTGGTTTACAATATCAAGAAAACATCCAAGCTTTAATTTTAGGCTAACAACATCATTGTTTTGTCCGTTGCGTTCTACTGATTATCTAAAGGAGCACTAGAGGTTCTGCGCACTTAAAGCTTATAATACAATCACTAAGCGATTCAACAGTGAAGCTATGGGGAAGTCTAGTTATATCCTCTGTTATTTGCACTGCTTAAATAGTAACTCTAGCCTAGAAGAAGCTGATGGTTTAAGAACGATAGTTATAGACAGTCAGTCAATAATTGATCGAGATCACAAAATGTCTATTAATATATCGTTGATTAAGATTTCAGATATTCTGAAAGCCTCTATGTTGCACTTATTCTCCCTTTATGTCACCTAAAAACACATTTGTGGTACATGCATGATATAATCATTCCTCCATTTAATATTCACTTAAAATACTTTGTGTGTTCATGAAAACCATCAAAATTTCCTGTTGTGTTTCTCCACTGTGCAACATTACTCCAAAAGCGAACGTGACTACACCTAATTTTCCGTCTAAATCAAGCTTAATGACTAAGTTTTACGAATGACATTATAATATGCCATCTGCTCAATGTATCCTTTTTCACACAACCAGTTTAATCGAGGGAATATAAAAATGTTCCTTTACAATTAGTGATAATTCACTTACTCCTTAAAGTATGCTAAGTAATGGTGTAGCCGAGGATAAGGAAATTTGGGAGGATAAGTCCAGTTTTTGTACTCAAAAGATGTCTATTCTACCCTCATGTTTTCCTTAGCCTAGGTAAATTTAAAAGTTTTCTCATGTGTTCTCATTCTTCACCCCCTATTAATTTATCATATTTATTCGAACTCTGATTCTCCACTCACTTCATTTTTATTATCTCGCAACTTCTAATTTTTGTAACACCTTGACCTAATTTAATTGTTGAAACGCCTATATTATAAAGCCAACTTCACTGTTCTTATTGGCCCTTGTTTTAGCTACTTGTACTTTTGTTTTCATCATTATTATCATTACTTATTTTCATTTTTTATTTTTTATTATAGCTTGATTCCACACCGTATTTTTAGTACAAGTATGGGATTTTCAGCAAGTGATATTGGTAGCCCGAATTTCGCGGGCCGACCATAGATATCAGGTGTGTGTCGGCAGGGATCGAATCCCAGACCATGCGCATGGTCGGCGAGAGTCCTAACCGCTGTTACACCGACGCACTATATTAGACTTATTATCACCTCTATAACTTAGAATATCTAACGCTTATTACTGACCAACAAATCACCGTCACTGCTTAAATTTCATGTGTGTATTAGAGTAAATCTTAAGCAAGGTCTGACGGAATACAGTATTGTTCGCTTCTCTGTCTTATTTAAATCTTACAGACGGAAATTTGTAACTTTCTAGGTAAGCATATATACATCTCAAATATTTTAAGGTGAAAATCGAATATCAACCAAAATATAGTTTACAAAGTTGCTATACAAAACATTCATTCGTTTTCCTCTGTGACGCTGAATAGTTCCAGCTGTCACAAATAACTTAAAACACATAGCTGAAGCTGTTGCAATAAGATCTACTAAACCGGAACTTTGTATCCAAAAAGAACACTTCTAGACGCTGTTCCTACCGTGGCCAAACTTGGAAATAATGATTCTTCTTCTCCTCACTAACAGTGCTTCTTCCACTCAACCCTCTTGTTTTTTTCTTTCTTTGCTTATTATTACAGTTATTGTTTGTCATAATTGATACCCTTCATTCAAATATTCTCTCAATACTATCGAATTTTGCATTTATACTATCCGAACTTATTATTAGTGACATTATCTCTTTTCCCAATATATATCTCTACCTGTTTCATTTCACAAATTGGTTATTTCATTACGAACCTCTCAATGGATGAATTTATTAAAGTCACGAACGTTAGCTGTAAAAACTTCGAGTAACGTTAATAATAATAGTAATTTCATGCACTCAGTTCCGTTGATTAGCTTTGAACAAAGCGAGAACAAGCATATCTGCAGGATAAAAGGAGCTTATTTTTTTAAAATTTATTTCATTGCTTTCCTTCCTCTGCTAACAACCTTTAGAAAAATGACTTAAGTTAATACAAATGTAAATATGTAACATATTTCGAAAATTATTTCAACTCAGAGAGCATAGTAGTGAAACAAGGAGTGTAAATAAAAAGTAGTTAGATAGATATTTATACATAATATGAAGGAAAGGTTGAGAGGAGAGGATGGGAAAGAAAAGAGTAAAAGTTAAATTATTATGTTACAAACAACCTCAGTGATTTATAATCAAAAGAAAAGATTGTGACGAAAAGGATTTCCAACAAGTTACAGACTTTTATCGACAGATGCCCCCTTTAATGACTCCATATTGAAGATTAAATAGCCAGTTAGGAAGAATTAGCAACAAGAAATTATGGGAACAAACTAACGAAGTACCAACCTACTGCTCAAAAAATATGTAGACGAAAATGGAGGTAGATTGAGTATACGTTAAGGAGACTGTCGAATGACATAGCGTGCCACGCCATCGCTCGAGTGGACCCAAATGGGAAACGACGAGTTAGGCTGTGGTCCGAATGTGAAATGGAGGAGATCGTGTGAGGAGAAAATGAGAGAGTTTGGTCAGTCATGGACCCAGATGAAGAAGACAGCAGAAGCCCTTTGTTCCACTCGGAACCCAAGGGAATAACTATAATTTAGTTAGAAACAGAAACAAAGTATAGACGTCTAGTTACTTGGAGTCCATGTTCATTCTCGCTTTGTCCAAACAATATAGGCTAGAATTACAGTGGTATTTATACCAACTGAATCACTCATACATAGACTTTCTTGGCTCAAGAATTCAACAGACCCAATTACTCAAAATAATATAATTTTTCAAATTCTGTGCAGTGACTATGAGGTCAGTTAGATAGATCAAACTAGTAGATCGGTATCAGCTAGACTATCAGAACGTAAGAATTTATCTAGATCTAGAATGATCACCCCAGCTAGTCAGTCTTGTATGTACTCGTACCATAGGGTGGGATAGAGTAAAAGCATTAAGAAGTAATGTATCTTGATGAAGAAAAGTTAGTTACCGAATCATTGTTCATTTAGTCAACACTAAATTAACCCAAAGGAAATTACTCAACCTTTTTGCTGTTCATATGAGAAGTTACATTGAAAAAAAAACGAAAAGAATTCAAAAACCTATAAAAAGCAAGTTACAAAATTGTATGAACACATTGACATGCTTATAAAAAGTAAATTATTCTTGAAACATCATTCAGTTGCAGTATCACAAAAAATTATATAGTATGGGATTACATTCATCCACAGTGCTGAAATTCTACTCTTATATATAAATTTTGCACTACAACCGCTATTTTTGAGAACAACGGCAAATGTAAACGATGTCCCCACAGCTCCATCTTAGAACATCTGATAGAATCCGAACACCAAGCTGCACTCCAAACAAACTTCAAAGTCGTCTACAGAGTAAGAAGTAGCCTTCCTAAAGGTGTACGAATCAGACTTCTTCAAACAGTAGAAGCAGTGGCGATTCACTCGCTAAGTCCTGAACTCTGCATACAGAAGAAGTTCGTTCAATCGCTACACTTGCAATGGACGTAATCTATCTTATTACCCGACAAGTAAATTCTACCTAATCTTCTTTTCTGTCTCTACATTAGTACTATTTCGTCTTCTCAATTGTGATAATTTTCATTTTCAAATTTCTTCTCCTCTACCCCCACCCG